AAAGAAAAGTCTCTTCATGGAGACATTTTTAGCACAGACTGGAGGAATGCACATATTCTGTAACAGGGCAGAATAATAATCCAAAGCCAGTTTTGCGTTACATAAACACCCATTTCTATTGGACAATAGAAGTTTCAATGAGAAGTTTTGTGAATTTTCTTTGGGTCTTGAACCACACAGCACAGAAGTCGACATACAATAATTCAATGGCATCTCCTTCTCTCTTCTTCTACTTCTGCAATAACAAGTTCTCCAATACCTTGAGAGGGGTCAAAACTCTGCTTTCTGCTCTATATAGCATCTAAAGCTTATCTCAGGGCTGATAGCTTCTTATTGGAGTTATCTCCTTACCGTCTCCTTCTTCTGTCTGTAAACCACTCCAGTGGCTGGACATGAATTTGCCTAGTTAAGAGCCTCATTTTTCCCAAAAATGGCAACATTTTTCCTCATCCGAAGGACCAAGTCCTCTGGCAGACCACTACTTTACTGATAGGGTTAGTGTCGCAAGCTTTCCTGGTTATAGTGGCTCTCTTACAAATTGTCCTTTAAACCGTGGTTGTTCTCTCCGAGTTCTCCTCGTCCTTTTTAGTGATACTGCCTTCTCTAGTACATCTTGTTCCTGGCCTGGGGAAGGGTTCATGCTGACTGCCAGCATTCCCCCTCAGGGCTGGACACATGAATGATCTGTGCATTCTGATATTTCTGTCTCAGACGCATGGAAATATCACTGGATTATGCATTTGCTAAAAGGGGGAGATACTTAGAACCATAAAGGGAAATTAGGAGGTCAACTCCCATTGAAAGTCAATGGGAGCTGGGTGCCTAACTTCCATTTGTGCCTTGGAAATCTTCCCCCAATTGTCTCAGTACATTTGCTAAAAATGTACTGACTGTTCTTCCCATGATTTCACTTTCTGAGAGGTAATGTTATCTAGGACTTCTGCTCATCCGCACACCCCATCTTGCCTGATTTACTAGTTTTTGTTTGCATACTTTGTTCCAAAGTTGGAGTTTCCAAAAATATGTTTTTCTGTCTGCGTTCAGCAGCAGCATTTCAGCATTGAAAGGGGAGCAGAGAATACCAACTGCAACCAGTCAGCCAGCCAAACCCTGACAGCAGTTCTGCCTTGCTGCAAACTTTCCATAGGAATGTTTGCATCTGGTTCCTAAAATCTGGATCCTGCTAGGGAGTGGGCCAGAGTCCCGAGGGACGCAGGTCCAAGTTCTGACATTCTGCAGTGTGGCTGCAAGTCAAGCCGTAGACCCAGTCTGCCTAGTGCAGTATGGATGTGTTAGCACAGCTGTGAGACCTGGGTCCAGCAATTGCAAACCCAGATTTACAATGCAGTGTGGACACTTAAGGACAGGCTTTAAACACCAAGTTCACAAGCCCAGTTCCCACTGTCCTGGGCTTACTGTGCAGTGTAGACAAACTCTAGGCGGCTTGGGAACTTCTAGGAATGTTTCCTCATGCAGCAGCTCAATTTGTGTGAGGGCAAGGAAGGTCTTGTGGCCAAAGTACAAGAATGGGAGTAACCAAACCCATTTATTTTCATGGCTCTGTCCCCGTGATTCTGGGAAAGTCACTTAGACCTCATTTTTAATAAATGGCCACTGATCTTGGGTGCTTCAACTTCTAGGTGCCCAATTTTAGACAGCCTGGGCCTGACCTTCAGAGGTGTAGAGCACCTTGCAGCTCCCCATGGTGAACATTTGGCTGCATGCCTCTCTGTGCCTCAGTTTCTCCATTTGTAAAACAAGGATAAGATTGTCCTATTTCGCAGGGGGATAATGAGGCTCAATTCATTAATGACTGAAATTACTGGATGGATGGAACTATTAATAGAAGTGCAGAGTGTTGCTACACTTAAATATAAATTGTCACTCAAGTACAATACACCAGGAATCATGATATGCATCATATGGGACGTAATATTTTATATCGACCAAGAAATTTTTAGTGACTTCTGTCTGCTGGTTACTTATTTTACCTTTATTTTTCCCCACCACACTTGTTAAGGAAATGTTTGGGGCCAGCCTGTGGTATTTAGCAAAAGAGGCATAATCCCTCCCTGAGCTCACAGCACACAGGGGAGGGCATGTCCCTTTGGATAAATCATACTCCCCTCTCTGCAGCTGCCTGACTCTACAAATTGGGGGGCAGGATCTGAACCATGGGCCTGCTCCTTCCCCACCCCTCTAGGTATGGATTTCCATCCTTGGGTGTGCATGGAGGGAACAGTCTCAAGCCCTGGCCCTTGTATGGAGTATGCAAGTGGGGTGGGAGGCTCCTTGAACCAATACCTTTCCCCACAGCTCTCCCACGCCATGACCAGGGACAACTTAGCTCTTTTTGTAGGATTTTTCTCCTGGAAAACTTCTAAAGGTTCCTTGTTTCCTTCCAATATTCTTAAGTCCCTTTATTTTCTGTTTTACCAAAACTTTCCTGGGTTTTACAAAAGCCATTATTCAGTTTTTACTGATCTTCACCCACATTCTGGAAATGCCAGAACTCTCCAGACCCAGCTCCCTGCTCCAGAAGGAGAGATGGTGGCTCAGCAGCCTGGACCACCCATCTCTCCTCTGGAGTTGGAAGCCAGGGCAGAACTGCCGGAATGAGTTGCTGGTGTACATTCCGTTGTCCGTCCCATGCCCACCACATACACGTTACTAGCTTTACAGACAGCACAGATAGTTGTCAGCATTCAAAGCAAATAAAAGTTAGAGAACTACTTTTCTTGCTAAAATGGATTGAAAACGAAAAGCTGTATCTGACTACATTTCAGAACAAAAGGGGCTTTCCTGAAAGTTTAAAAAGACACAAAAGCAGAAGAGAGTGATATCTACCCTATCTGATATTTATTCTGGAAAACTCCTAAGATTTTGTTTTTGCACCGATTTTCATTGATTTTTTAACTTTTGTAATAAACACTAATAAATTCCCAAGAAATTGTAAACAAAATGAACACTGAAAACAAAGGTCCTTAGACATACTGTATATGTTCTAGCCTTTTTTCTGCAAAGGAGCTGTTCACAAGAGCCCATTTGGACAAGGCCATGGCGATAATTCTTGCCATTGGCAGACATCTTGTAAGTCTTTACAGTGCAACAGAATGATTCACTGTACAGTTAAGAATATGAAATGATGTGTGTGTATATATCACACAATCATAGAATATCAGGGTCGGAAGGGACCTCAGGAGGTCATCTAGTCCAACCCCCTACTCACAGCAGGACCAATCCCCAACATATAGTGTGGAGGCAAGTTGGATAGCATGGAATTTCTATCTTACTGGCTTTTTCTGCTATTTCAGTTGTCGTCCCCCCCCCCGCGCCCCCGCAGCAGTTTGGCTTTAAAGTGAACCCAAAACAGAACAAGCTGGTTCTGCTTTGCTACAATGCCTCCTACAAGATAGAGACTCCTGAAGACCTATTCTGATATATCAGAGGGGTATAATTCTGTCTAAATAAATTATTTTAAAGCTGCCCACGTGAAAACCACTGGCTTTGGCTGTTGTCACTCAAGAAAACAACAATTTATCGTATCCCTCATCCCAGATTAAAGTTCCTAAATAATCTCTGTAAAGGTTACAGTCAAATTAGTTTTATTTCATCTTTCAAACTGAATAGCAACTTGCTGTCCAGTGTTGGATAAATATGCATTAGGCCCGTTGAGGGGTCCACACGTTCCAGGATTTAAAATTATTTCCTCAAAGTTATTTCCAGAATCCTCCACAGATACCTATCCAGCATAAACTAATTCCAAAGTTGAAATTCATAGGAGCTAGGGGCAGGATGATTTCAATAACAGGCCCTCGCCCCTGGAATTCATTCCTATTGGAGCCCAAGTCCGGGACACTTTTGGAGTGGAATGTAAGAAACATCTGTGTCTAGGTCTCCGACTAACTGCTAGTTCCACAATCTTTTCGTATTCAGTGAGTAAGTCAAAACCTTTGCCTTTTAACAGTAACTAAATTGCTGCTGCAGATTATATGCTGCCTACATTGGTGTTCAGGAGGTAGGTGGGAAATGTTATTCACTCTCATGCTAAACAAGCAACGGGGCCTTATTAATGTGTATCATAATACAGCATTAAAATAATAAGCAAATAGTTTTGATATCAGACTCCTGCTGCTTCTCAATTTGGCCACTAAAATACTTGCTTCTTGTCAGTAATAGATTACGCTTGATTGGGGCTTTCTGGGAGAGGACTTGGTTGTGTTTTGAAGTCAATGGGAGCAGCAGGGAAGCTAATTTTGGCTGAATCAAGTTGGAAAAGAAAATATCCAGCCTTCATTGGGGGAAGATATTTCCACTTTCCCTGGACACCTGCCCCAGCTCTATTTTAGCTGAATACTTGTATGTACCTCACTAAAAGCTCGGCTGTCTGAGTCAGAAAAAGTCAGATTGAAGGAATGATATTGGAGGGAGGCAGCATTAGACATTAGGCCACCAAGATAGTGGAAGGTTTTTTCCACTGGGTTTTCAAAGGGAAAGAAATAGATATTCTCTGACCTAAATAGGTTGTGGGGTTGTGTAAGTCCCCACAAAGCTTCCACATGGGGGGCAAAAAGGCTTGTGAGAGGATAATATTTGGATTTGAAAACTGGCTCAAGAAATCCAAAGGAAATATGAATATTAGCCTTGCTGTGTGGCCCTAGAAAGCAAACTAGAGAGAGATACTAACTTTGGTTGACTCCGCTATCAACATCTCTTGCTGTAGTACACTGACCCTTGTGACTTTAATTTTACCACTAGGCTTTAGCTTCTGTTGTCTCTCCAGCTCACTGTTAGTGTCAGTATTAAGCTGTCCTAGCAATAGATGTATATAGCTGTTTTTTTTTTTTTTAACCCACACATCTGCACTTGCAAACCAGGAAACAAATATAGAAAATCTCACACAGTGTAATGAGTTTCAGGAGAGCTGTGTAATATTGTAGGGATTTTGGTGTGTGTGTGGAGGTTGTGTTAATTTCTTCAAAATCCACAATTTCTCATACCTTACTTGCTTTCAGTATCTCAAACATCAAAGGCAACCCATGTGTGATGAGCTCCTCAGTGTACTCTTCCTCCTGAATGGATTTAAATTCCTTTAACAAGCATTGGATGAGAGGCCTTCTGTGCTGCTGAAAGGAAGTTCGCAAAGACTCCAACCATGTATGTAGCGTCCATGGAACTCCTGTACAAAAAGATGAATTTTAAAGGTGGGTGTATATTCCAGACCATCACAGAATGAGGCGTAGTTAATTTATTCTTTAATTGTGTGACTTTAGGGCTTGTGAACGGTGCCAAATTGAAAGCCCTAGAAATTGACCTCCTATTTACCCTACAAGTGCTGCCCATCAATATGCCTCAATCCTTATCTGCAGGGACACACCTCCAAGTATAAGAAGGTAGTTCAGCCAGGTTCAATTCCCTGCTCTGCCACAAATTTCCTGTGTGACCTCAGGCAAGTCACTTAGTCTCAGTATGCCTCAGTTCCCCATCTATCAAATGGGGATAATAGCACTTCCCCATCTCACAGCGGGTGTTGGAAGGATACATTTATTACAGCGTGTGAAGTACTTTGAGACCTACTAATCATAGGTGCTGACTTTTGGTTTTGCCAGTGGGTGCTTTGTGCCTTCTGGTTTCACTGTACACCATGTAAGTACTCCTGCCACCGACTGGTGGCTCATGGGTGCTGAGCACCCCCTATTTTTTTCAGTGGGTGCTTGAACCCCGGAGCACCCACGGAGTCAGCACCTATGCTACTGATGAAAAGTGCTATATAAGAGCTAAGTAATATTATTTAGCCTCGCTGCTGAGCCAATTAGTGTACACTGCAGTGGTGATTTCTGATGTGGACCTCATCTGGGAACTAGATTTATGCCACTGCACTCATTTGCAGTGGGCTACCAAAGAGCCATCAGATAGTAAAAACATTTAGTCACTGCCAACTTTGGCTGGATTTAAACCAGTGACCTGGAAAGGAAAATGTTTATATCCCCCTCATCACTCCTCCAAGCCATGCATCCTCACCTATGTTGATACAACATCAGGTGGGTAAGAAGGTCCCGTTTTTACACAGTTACTTGTCAGAGCAGAAGTGCACTTTAAGAATGTAAAAGAAATTGCTACCACACACTAAAGAATAAAATATGCAGTAGTAGAAGAAAGATAAATTAGTCCAAGTCATAGTCATCAAGGAATGGATTGTAGACCAGCCTATGTGCCTGCGTGATGGCCATTATCTTGGCTGACACCAGGATTAAACTGATGACTTCCTGAATTAAAAGCATAAACTGCTACAGCTTGAACTAAACAGTCAAGCCTCTTTAACTAAGGAGCTGTAACAACTCATATCCTCTGGGGATCGGCACAGTGCGGGACCTGTAACACACACTCACCAATGGGTTACATTTGCAAAAGAGTGTGAGAGGAAATATACCCCTCCTCTCTCCTGTCCACACCCCGGACCTTGGGTCCTCATAGGTGCTGCATAACCACTACTCCCCTCCACCCCAACAAGAGGACAGGATCTCGAGTCCAACTCTCCCACTGCCATGAGATCCTTTCACATTCACTTAGTAGGAGGTGCTTTGCTAGACCAGTTGCACAACCATTCCATCCCTCTGTGTTTATGCAAACCTGTTATAGGTTGTAACTCAGAGTGGAAATCACGATCCATGTGACAGGATTCCAAGACTCAGTGTTCTTGGATATGGTGCTCAGAAGCATGTTTGGCAGCAGAAGTCTTTTGGCCTCTTACTGAGCACTGATTAACACAGGTGGTAAAACAGTCAACAACCGGAACAAAATGGTTTCCTTGAGCATTGACTGACTGGCCTGGAGAGGGTGTTGGAAAGGGCCGTAGAGCTATGTGATTAGTGTGCTGAGCAAATTCACTGCCTTTCTCCCCCAGGAGGGTCGCAAACAGTAAAAGGGGGAAGGTTCTGTGACAGTTGGGAGGTTGGTGCTGGGAGGAGCGTGGTGTTTGGAAGCAGATGGGTGGTTGTGAGAGCTGGTGCATGAAGAGCTGGAACAGCTGCCCCAGAGCTGATGTTTTAGATGGACACCTAGCTAAGCAGAGGTGAAGAAGCCTGCTGGTGTGAGCCCTCCCTAGCAAATCATCCTTTCTTTTGAGTCAGGCATCAGAGTGCTTATTGGGAACCACCACGTGCCAGAGCCTACAAAGCCGAGCAACGGAAGCATTTTTAACGAATGAGTCATAGTGTGCCTGGCATTCTACCAAGAACTGGGGCTGAAAGGGCCTGGTCTATCAGCTCTCCAGCACCTCCGAGTGAGGGGGTGACTACAGCTGCAAGTAGGTCCTGCTCTGTGACTTACACCCAACTGCCTGATGTGCATCTGAAAAATGTTGTTTGAGTACGTCAAATTGGAGTAGGTGGCTGACACTCCGATTCCATTCATGATGGAACATAACAGAAAGAAACCTGTCTAAATGTATACGAGATTTGCCACATTTTGTGATGTGTGGCATACATGATTGTGAAGAAAAAAGCAACACACATGCCATGCAGGGAAGATTATCTTAGTCAGTCGTGGCTCGTCGGCATTAAAACAAAACTGACTCAATGGACCCTCCAAGAGTCACAGCTTTACACCCAGTTTGCACTGACTTACTCACCTCCCGCATTCTTCATTCCCACACACATGTGAAAGTCCCCCAATTATTGCTTTCATAAAAAACTCAGGAACATTCAAATGTGGTCAGTGGAAATGACAGGCATCGCTCCCACCAAAACATACATGACAGTTGTCTCTCATGGGAGGTAAAGTGCAGATGACATCAAGACTGACCTATGCTCCTTATGTCAATAGTGACATCCACATATCCATGCTCGGCGCTGTGATACATGGCTTCTTTCAGTGCTTTCAGTTTGGCCTTGCTGTTGCGGCTGGCGCACAAAGGAGCTGGTGCAGCATCTGCCAAGTCAGTTCCCTCAGCCAGTATTTCCTCCAGGGACAGAATATCACTCTTCTCTTTCTCTGGCTGAGCAAGCAGCTTACGAAACACATTCCTGTCAGCCACAATGCAAGAGAGAGAGAAAATCAGAGTTAGCTACTGTTTTTGCCTTTTGCCTGGGATATTTTCTGTAACATGGCAGGTTTGGAAACCTATTCAGAAGGCCAATCAGGAATTATTTTAAGAAATGTTAATTCACATAGTGCTCAGTTCCTGCAGCCCTCATGCAGGCAATACTCCTATCAGTTCAGGAGTTATGCCTGTATCACAGCTGCAGGACTGGTTCCATTGTTCTAACGAATGGCAGGAGCACCGTACAAATGTCATGTGTACAGCAGAAACTTAAAACAGAAACTTATGATCAAGCAGTGACTGTTAAATGATTAAAAGCCTGTGTGGAAAATCTTGGCAGAATCTATCCCACACTACAGGGAAATAGAGTTGTCTTTAGAAACACTTTAGTGCCTTTCACAAAGGATGCATTTAGTAGCAAATAATTGATAGAGATGAAACTTGGAAAGGGAGCTGTCTAAAACCACTGAAAACACCATCACTCTCAAGTAACAGTCAAAGCAGTCTTGGTAAAGCTGGAGCTACTAATCATTCAACTACATCTGGCAGGGCAGGTTCAAGCAAAGCTGGGACCCCAGCTGCAAAGCCATTTATTTGGGCCCTGAGCTGCAAGGCGCCAAACTCAGCAGTAGGCATGATACACCACTCCCACCAGGTTTAGAGCAGTGTAACTCCATTGACTTCAGCGGAGCTACTCCTGGTTTACGGTGTTGTGAGAGGAGATTCAGGCCCAGCGTGCAATTTCTCCCCAACCTCCCACCTGCCTCATGCACTTATGATTGGGTAGTGGCATACATTCAGTTCTAGGGGTAGGGGCAGTGCTTAATTTGTAATGATAGAGGTGCCGGGGCTCAAACCATTTTTTTACTTTCGTAACTGATGCGGCAAGTCCAGAGGTGCCAGGGCGGTGAACCGCAAGTCCTGGCACAAATTAAGCACTGAGTAAGGGTAGGTGGCAATGTGTGCGTGTGGGAGAGAATAAGCAGGGTGTCCTGGATAACAGGGATGTCTAGCATGGGCGGCGGGTATCGAAGGCCAGGAGAGGCTAAGCCTCCCCTAACCCAGGCCATGGCCCTGCCCATGATCCGCCCTGAGGCCCCACCCTTATTCCCCCTCTCCCCTGAAGCCGGCAGGGACTCAGCCCCATCTGGCGGCCTTGAGTTCAGGGCTCAGGCTGGTGGCCAGGGGCAGCTCAGGCTGGTGCTTGGGCCAGCTGGTGGCCTGGGGCAGCTTGGGCCAGCCTGGAGGTCTGGCCAGCCGGCGCAGCTGGGGCAGCTCAGGCTAGCTGGCATGGCTGGGGCGGGCCAGCCAAGGCTCTTCTGGCCACAGAGTGGGAGGGCGCTCGGGGCTCCGTCAGGCGGGGGGCTAGCCTCCCCGAATGGGGGGTTCACCTGCCGCCCATGATGTCTAGAGGTGTGTATGGGTAGAGGAATAGTGGAGGGAGCTTTCCTGTAAAACTAGTTCGGGGAGTGGGGAGAGTGTGAATCTGTGATGTGCCTCAGCTGGTGCTAATAAAGGGGAAAAAGCCTTGATTTCCACAAGGGACGCTGCACTGCGGCGCTCTCTGACAGCACGACATATCTCCCACTCCACACCATTAGGCACTGCATGAGCATTTTAACAAACTCCTCCCTTCTCACCCCACCCCTGCAGGGGGCCGCTCTTTGGCTGCAGATGGGCAGCATTGTCTGAACCAACCCTGACAGCTACATAGCATATCATTAGGCTGTTAGCTCTTTTCTCTAAGCAAACATAATGTAGATACTGTCTCTAACCTGCATCTACGTTCCTCTGGAAGGCTACAAGTAGAAAAGTATGAATGTGAAGGTCCTAATACTAATCCATAATATTGTAATTAGTATCTGGATTTTGTACAAATAACTGTTCATACATATCAGTTGTTCATTTAAGTTATTTTTTAAACTGTAACATGCCCCCAACACGCTGTCTCTGGACACATACATAACATTAACACAAACAAAAATATCAGCACTTACAAAAAAACCACCTTTGTTTAATGACAGTTATGGCTGCTGCAAGAAACACACACCACACCCAAAACCTTTAGAAATATGTAAATACATTTAGGGAAGTCTCCAGCACTCACTGGCACTTCAGCATTGATGACAACTTTGTAAACAACAAACTGCAACACTTTAGAAGGCATTCACTTCCATTTCCACATACTGAAAAATCAATGTGCACCTCAAACTGATCAAACTCACACACTAACAGAAATCCCTAAATCCAATCTCAAATCTCCTATACCAAAAAAGGAGCACATCTGACTGTCACACAGTCCACACGTCTGCAGCAAGATTCTACTTTAACACTGAGGATCATACATCAGTCCACCCACATCAGCCTCCCAGGCAAACCATAATCACTTGACCCATGCAACTAGACCCATTCCCACTCTACCTGTGTCCATGTGCAGCAGCCTGACTGAAAGAGTTCATGTCACCTTGTGGAGTCATGGAAATTCCATTTCTGTACATTGTTCCTATCATGGGGTCAGCACCTCGCTCCAACAGCAAAGTCACCAGTTCAAAATTTCCTGTACGCCAAGAGAGATTTAAATTTTTTTAAAGTCCTCAATATTTTTGCCACTAAGTCACATTTCCAAATTGAAGAGTTTATTCCAGCAGGAGGAGAGTCCTTACCAGCAGCTGCTGCCAGTTGCAAAGGAGTTTCCGAGTAATTTTCCTCTCCTTGCTCTAAAGAACCTTCTACCTTTGCTCCAGCATCCAGCAATAGCTATAAAGAAAATTGACCATTTAGAGTTGTTGGTGACATCGCAGAATTCAGAGTTTATGAATAGCGAGGAACTGGAGTCTAATATTTCTCATTATCCACACATCAGATGCAGTGAAGACAAGTGACATACACATTTTGCTTCTATTATTCAATTAGTTCTTTTTCACTCATGATACACTGTCAGACTCTTAGAGCATTAGTGAATATTCCAAAGCCAAACAAGTATTATCCAATGTTCCTGACCTGGGCATAAGATCAGTGGTGTGAAGTAATGCACTAGTTGAGACACTCAAACTTGGCCCAACCGACAGCCTCACTGACAACTTGCCTGGAGCCCCACAGAGACACGCACTTTTACTAAAATGGATGAGATTTCAGTTGTCTCCATCTTTAATAGAGAGATGTTTCCAGAAGAGACAAGAGGGTTTCAGGAACAAGTTGTAGCAATGCATGCTGGAACCTGCAGTCTCCTGGGGTACATTTCTATTTCATTATTATTATTAAAGATGACGGTGGACGTCGACAGCACTACAGAATCTGAGGGGACACATTCAACCTGCCTTTGGCCATCCCTACCCTAGATCTCCTTTGTCTGGTGATTCATTAATTGTGCCATGTCGACACAATTACTTTGAAAAATAATCTATCTCAACGCTTGATATGCCATACCACAGAGCCAACATATTCACGTTTTTTCATGGCTGGATAAAGTGACTGAGCACTTCTCTGACTATGGAACAGATCAGAGGTTTTTTTTTCCAGAAATAACAATATTTGCATTTATTAGAGTATTATAATACACGTGATAAGAAAGTGTAATGAATGAATAAACAAACACATACAACGAATGGTCAGAAAGGAGCACAAGGAGTTGACAGACTTTCTTTGATGCAACTGTACTTTAAAATTGTCCTATTTAAACCTCATATTGGTTCAGATTTGGCTGCAGAGATCACTATATCGTATCAGTAAATGATAGAAGAAGTAACCAATATGAATATGAGAGGGGTACCAGTCTTGAGATGGATGCAGATTATAACCCAACTGGATAAATAAAAAGTGAGATGCAGGTAGGGAAATACAGTAATACCTGAACTACAGGAATATGTCCATGCAACACAGCAAATGTCAGAGCTGTCCAATGGCGGGTCTCGGGGTGGACGGATGGATATTTATGAGCAGTACTGACAACCTATAAACAAATTAAAGTTATTTTCTTTTAAAATGGCCTTCAAAGAGCTTTAAATAATAAAACTCAACCTGCCTGAAAACTGGGCACATGGGTATAAGTGATAGAGAAAAAAAAATCAGAAAGAGCACTTTATAAAATGGTTGGTTCTATATATTTTTTCCAGCAGAGTTTTTACTTATGAAGAATTTACTTCCACTAGAATTTTTAATGCTTTTTACTGAGAGCTTGATTAAAGCTCATTGCAAATAAAGTCTCTTTTCCAACTGCTGTTGCTCCCTCTAAATCACTGCCCCCCAGCAACTTTTACAGAGTCAAAAATTGCACTCGTGCTTATACCAACGTTCACTGAGGAGCTGGAGATGGGAGCGGGGGGCTCTGTCAGGATGGTTACATTTCGGGACATTTCCTATTGACTTCAGCGGGCTTTGTATTATGCCCATTCATTCTTCCCTGCTCCTGGGATTGCTTCACAGCATTCTGAGTTTCTCAAAAATCCTGTAGTGAAAACCTGACTCCACTGAAATCAATAAGAGTTTTGCCACTGACTTCAATAGGGCCAGGATTTCAACCCTGGTCTCAAGTTTAAAGACATGTAACCCATGTTGCTGCTCCTTGACTGGAAGCAGAAGACTGTTTAAAATGGATGGAGCCTAGCACCATTTAGAAGATATTTTAAAAAATCCGTTTACTACTTTCTCCCCTTCTAGTTAAATCTAAAGGTGTGCTGGGCCCAAAATAACTAAAAACTATTTTCTTTAAACAAAAAACCTTTCATTTTCACACCAGTCCTTCCTCCCACTAACCATCAATATCTAAAGCCTCTAATCTTGATCTCGGGCAACCGATGTAATCGCTCCGTGCCTCAGTTTCCCCATCTTTAATATGATGTAACTCACAGGGATAGTAACATTTAATGAAAGGTTATAAAGCACTTTGAGATCCTTGGATGGAGCATGATACTGAAGTGCAAAGTATTAATTAATTATTATTATTATTCGTCCATGGGAAGATAGCACTGGTAGAAGAACTGAAGCTGGACTGAACGAAGCATTGGCCAGCCACCCGGTGAAAGGCAGGGAGTTTTACATTCACCATCTTATGTCCATAGGATAGCAGGGCCCATTAGCTCAGCGTCAGATGCTTGGCTGCATTAGCAGCCAACATGGTCAAGCTTCTGACATAATGCCCTGCTAGCTATCCCCAGGGTTAACATCAGGGGCGAGGGCAGAGAGGGAGTAGCTGGTGTGTCAATCCTGGAGTGCCAGTTGAGGAGGGCTGCATGAGACAGTTGGCTGTGTATTCCACCCCTGCCAAAGAGAAACCTTCAGTTCCTGAAATCACTTTGCTCTGCTCTGCACACACAGAGCTCTAACACCAGAAGAAATGTGCTGAAGTCTAAACTTAGGCCTGTGACTTCTCAGAACCTGGGAGCACTGTGTAATGAATGGGGTCAAGCAGCTCCAGCCCACCAGTGGAGGGAGTGAATGAATAGGCTTGATTCAGGATAAACTAGTCCCCAAATGTAACTATGTACCCGCTAATTACGTCCCATCTCACGTGGATTGGTACTGGCACAGGAAAGCTCAGGGAACTCCCAGTGGCATACACTGAGGAAATGCAAGTATTAACATTTTATTTTATTTCATTTTTAAATTTTAATTCTTTTTAGTGAATTTAGTGCTTGTGAATAGAGTGGGATTGACAACCCTGGAGACTAAAGTCCTCTAATTTTCTATAAAACAAGTACAGCACAGGCAAGCACCCCTCTAGGGATTAGAGCAGGGAAGTCAAATTCATTCTGTGGACAGAGCCAAATTAAATCTTCAATTATGATCCGTGAGCCCTGTCTACAAATTTAGACTCATGTGCTACCCTCAATCTACAGCAGAGTTCTCACTGAAAAATAAGACTAAAATATGCCCTTATGTAGACACTAAGGCCAAGATTTACTAGAACATCCTCTACATTTGGGTGCCTTTATTTTTTTTAAGATACCTAGGTTGGGCTTTTCAAAAGCACTTACCATTGGGTTAACTCTGCTCCCATTGACTTCAGTGAGAGTTTTACCACTGACTTTAACGGGAGTAGAGTTAGGTCAACACTGAGTGGCTGTCTAAGGCCTGACATTGACATTTGGTAAATACAACCATGCCTCTTACTGACTTCAATGTGAGTTTTAGGTATTCAGCATATCAGGAATAAGTCCCTGGAGTCTAAACTTGGGGGGCATTTGAGCGTGGAAACATCCTGAATTAGAGGTCACTTTTGGAAATTTGGGCCAAAACTTTTATTTAGCAAAGTAAAGCGGGGAAACATTTATTTCACCCTTTGTTTATTTGGCCTATCTTCATGTAATCACCCAATTTGCACACACTACTGTGGTAATTGTATATACAAATTAGCTGTATAACTGCACACCTTAATTATTTGAATATCCTGCCATAGAAGTGTCATGATTTGATTTTAGTGAGAACTTTCCTTTGAGATCAACCAGGGAGGTTCACATCCCTCTGAAAGCTATTGGTTCAGGTTGTCTTCAGAATCAGGAACACAATACTGCTTAAATTTACATCTAGTCCAAGTTTAGAAGGTTATTTACACAGCCACAAGAACTGAACTCCCCTTTTATTTGTAATGAAAGCTTGCATTCTGCAGAATCTGAATTTGTTAACAGGGGTCAGAAAATAAGAGATCAACTCAGAAGGCCAGTGTTTGACACCCTTGGTTGCAGGACAGGTCAGTCTCCATGACTGTCAAATCTTTGGCCTCTTTACTGTGACTGCTATGAAGGGGGATAATTTTTGCCTACTGATGGTTGATTTTTTTGTTCTTTGGTTGTTGTTTTTTTTGTTCCACTAGGAACTAAACTGAGCTGAAATCAACAATTGATTTCACATAAGCCACCGAACAGCAATCAGATAGTAACGACTGTCAGTCACTATTGACCTGAGTGGATTCAAAGTGGTGACTTACAGGTGAAAAATTGTGTCCTGCCCCTAAGTCCCCAAACCATCCATTGTCCTTTTTCCAATTACATTAAAACAAACAAACAAACAAAAAGTAAAATGTCTCATTGAAAGTCGCAATTACACTTTAATGACAGCTTTCCTAAATCCAAACAGAACGGATGGAACACAGATAAGTGAATCAGACAGTTTAATTTATTCATGACCTCAACAAACTGAAATGATAAGTATTTGCAAACATAACAAATAATTCTTCATGTATTTTAAATGGCTCTTTAAAAACTTACATACCCGTGTTGCATGGAGTGGCATAACAATCTGTTTGGTGGACAGATTGTATGTTTGTTACATACATTCACCAAGAGATATTACATGTTGGAAGCCCCCTTCATCCACCAGCTTTCATCAAAGCCATTTTATAAAACACAACAATGTACCTTATACCACTCGTGTGCTGTTGGGCAGTAGATGGACATCTCAATGTATAAAAGTTCTCAAACTTGGGCAGGGGCATTTGAACAGTGTGCCGCCTCGACCGATTAACTCATCTGTGATTCAGGAAGTCCCATCCTTTTCATTAAAATTGTGACTCCTGAACCAGCAGCTTACATTTAAAGTTCCGGGGCTACATTCTATGCTAAATTACACTGTGCAATTCCAGTGAAATCAATACTATTACATTGGGTTTAAATCACTGACAAACTGACCCTTTAAGTGCAAATGGATCCCAATACTGAGCTGCCCTGATAAGTGCCGTGATCATTTCAATATTCATTTCAAATGTTAATGCCTTTGGTAACAGAATTTTATTTTTAAATGCCTTGGGGTTTTCCTCCTCTGCTATAATTGTAATGGGCTGTGTGAGATATAAACAAATAAAGAAATCAAAGTTGTAATCATAATAAAATGTCCTCACCTCAACATTCAAATCTGCTCCAGCATCTAGTAGCATCTGCACCATAGCCTCATCACCCCTGACACAAGCATACATCAGTGGAGTCATGCCCTATTCATTGTTTGGAATTTAAAAAAACAAAAACAAAAAAACAAAGGAATTGACAAATTTACAATGGAATCTTTTAAAAAAAGAGTTAGTGCTTTAAATGTATATTGTCAAGATAAACACTAAATATTTAACAAAACCTTACCTCTGTTACAAACAACCCTTTAATATTATTAACAGCTGAACATTTAAAAAATCTATGTCACTGTCATCATGTACGTTTTTCCTTTCTGCATTTTACTCAGCATAATGAAATCAGATTTGTCAGTTTCTTTTCCTAGTTCTCCTATACTAAATAAAGAACAATGTTGTCCTTGGTATCCAAATAGTAGGGGAATGTTTAAATCCAAAGCAATAAGATTTCCAATGCAGTTAAAAAATAACAAATGAAAACATTTCCATTCCTATTAAGGTTTTTGTAACTCTTGTTTTATAAAACCTAAAAGTTGAGTCTATACTTCTTGACAATATCCCTTTAACAACATAATGAACTCCCTTTAGATAAGTTAGACTCGAGCTCTGTCTATTCACTGTCAGCATTGTTAGCGGTTGGAAACCTAGAAGCTTTGTACATAGTCCTAAACAATGACTTAATTTTAAATGAAATGCCAGACAGCATTGTTTAAAGTTGCTAGCTCTAGGGATATGCTGCCCTATGTTGATGAAAACTAGATTAGCTGACCCTTCACTACAGAAACTCCAGACTGCAATTTGTATTAGTCTGGAATACCCACTGCAGCTGATCAACATTTCCCTTAAGGTTAGTGTTATTTTGGCAATGGAAATAAGTCTAGATGAAATCATGATGGTATAATTAAATCTACCAAAATTACAACACAAAAAGCTCTTTATTAAATAAAAGCGGGGGAGGGTCAATCAAGAGTGTGTTTGTTCCATGGGAAGTTTACCACTGGACCATGGTATCTCTACTACATGTCTATTGTCTGTCTTATGATCCCATGTACACTTCCTGTCACATGATCACACACTTTCTGCTTAACCTGTCGCTTGCTGTAGAGCAAAATTATTAACAGAGACAAAGGAGGTGGACAGAATGGGCAGAAACTGAGCCACTGCACTGTTCTCTCTAGCAAGAGCTGAGCACCGGCATTTTTGCTGAATTAAACGTTATTCACATTTTCCTTGAGGGGAAAAAGTCTCTTTTTCCAGGCTAAGGTTTGGTGGGTTTTGGGGGCAGGTGTCTTTTAGTAAAAATAAAAATAAAATGTCGGGCCTGATGCTGTGCGGTGATGAGCATCTTCAGTGCCCACCGTAATCAGTGGGCATTAGGCAGGATCAAGTCCCTGATTTGCTGTTGAGAAAGGTGTGCTTTTTATATATATATATTATATTTTAGATAGATAGATAGATAGATAGATAGATAGATAGATAGATAGATAGATAGATAGATAGATAGATAG